AACTACTGTCAGCGTTGTTTAGAAATGAATTGATGTAAATCGATATGGTTTTCGTAGTGAAGAGTTTCGGAAGTATCTAGTTTTTGTTTTACTGTCGACTTCAATCAATTAAGTGATAAAAGCATCATTCTTCTATGTACATTGATAAAGAAAGGATACTAATTCAATATAGTAGACTGAAAATAATGTTAAGGGAGACATGTTTCGTTTCATACTCATTCATATAGATGATTATACATATTCTACGTTTTATGGATTTCTCCGAAATCGGCATTCCTAACTTCATGCTACATCTTATAGTGGATGAATAGTTCAATGCCAATTTGCTTTACATAGCAAACGCGTTTTTATATGTTACAGTGGCCCTGATTTTTTAAGAAACATTCTGATACATTGTATATTGGGTGAATAATTCCGCTCCTCTCTATATTGGGTGTCCTTTCATAAGAGTACCGAATCTTAAAAAAACCTGCATTATTTGCCGTAATCAGAACGAATCAGATCGATTTTTATAAAATCAGGAAAATAAAGAGTCGCTGCGTTCCATGGTCTTGATTACAGTCGGAAATGCAAGAATATATAGTCGGCAAAATATTCGACAGTTAAATATGACTTAAATCGTACGAAAATGCTCATCAGAGTTTAACAATAGAAACAATTATTTTGACCGATCTTAAGCAACTGTTTTTAAGAAAGGTGATGTTGAAGAGATCTAATAATTAAGATGAAAAATAACTGAGCATGTCGATGTGGATGAAGAGATCACCCACACCTTCCAAAGATAATTTCTGCAAAACTCAATTTCCATTGCTACTTGCATTTGAAAACAAATAGTCAGCTTGTTTCTTCTTCACAACGTCATCATTTTGATGAAACTTTGGCTAATCATGACCTGAAATTATTTTTTTTATTATACCTTATCACCCTGAAAGGTTATCATTAATTAGAAATGACTGCCGTTAGTCATCATGGTCTATAAATAGGTAATTAGTTTATGTAATCTACTGCAAATGACACATCAGCTATAAGAAAAATGCCAGTAGTCAGCTTATACATTTACCAAAACAGCGTCACAAAATTGCATTAAAAAAATCTAGAAACGAAGAAAATAAGAATAGATTTTAATTAACATTTTCTTGTCACACAAATAGCTTATATATAAATCATTCTCATTTTTCAAGGCTATCTGCAGCATTATATTCGTTCAAACCTCCATTCTAACTGTGTGAAGAGAATTCAATACTGAAAATGTCAAGTACAAATGCAACAATATCGTATATTGCTAAGCTTCAATATATTTCGGGACAATTGTCTCTATATATGTCAGTTGTTATCCTTGTTTCTGGCTTGATCGGTAATCTACTTAATTGTTTAGTATTTACACAGCAATCACTTCGGTCAAGACCATGTGTCATCTATTTTCTTGTGGCTAGTATATTGAATTTAATTATTATTTTCTCGGGTGTTGCACCGCGTGCACTTCAAAGCTTTTTTATGATTCCGGATCGAACAGAGACAGTATCAACATTATGTAAACTACGTCTTGTTGTTCTTTTTACAATGCGTACTATTTCATCATGGCTTTTAACTCTTGCCAGTTTGGATCGTTATTTGATTTCAAGTTCTCATGTTAATAGACGCCAAATGAGCAATTTGAAAAATGCTTATCTTTGGATTTTAATTGTTAGCATAATTTCAGTTCTAGTCTGGGCTGAAGCTGGCTACTGTTTTGATGCTAATATGGTTGGTACACCTCAAAAATGTTATGCTAAATCTGATGCATGTCGTATCTTTAATGATCTTGCTCAATCACTTA